GCACTTTGTTTTATCTTTAAATATAATTTTCAGTTTATTTAACCAATGTGCATTACGATCTTAGATGCTATAATTTTCTAAAGCAGTAGGTTACTCTTACACTGAATGTGATTGCAGAGTAAGCTTTCTTATACCATTCTACCTAATAAAGANGGGGGTAGGGGGTGGGGGGTGTAGCCCACCACCCCATGCGGGAGTCGAACCATCAACCTTGTTGTTAAGAGCATGCGCTCTAACCAACTGAGCCATCCAGCCGCCTATTGGCAGCTTAGCTCAAGGTGCTGTGTTCAACCTTAGTTGCCGGGTGGCACAGCCCACCATCCCATGCAGGAGTTGAACTGGCAACCTTGTTGTTAAGAGAATGCGCTCTAACCAACTGAGCCATCTGGCTGCCCTCCTTTAATTTTTTAATGTGAAGACTATTACAGTAATAATTTTTCTAATTTTAAATCATCTGTATATTCTTGGGATAAATCAACCTGAGCCTTATATATTGTTTTAATATACTTTGTCAGATTTAGGGTTTTGTTTGCTAATATTTTAGGAGTTTTGGTTCTGTATTTATAAGTAAAATTTGTCTGTAATTATTTTTGTTTTGTACTTCTTTTGGTTTTTGTTATCAAGATGACATGAGCCTCATTAAATGAATTCAGTTTAATAGTTTTTGAAGAATTTTGCATAACCTTGGAATCGTTTATTAGGTACAATTTTCCAGTAAAAATTCTGAGCCAAGTCGTGTGTGTACGTGCATGCACGCTCATGCAACTGCATCTTAACTACTAATGTACTTTCTTTAATGCTCATAGGTCTGTTTAGGTTTTTGATTTCTTCTATATTATTTTATTTAATCTCTAATTAGTAACAACTTTTCCTTTCAATATGACAATAGATTCTGGTTGTTTTTAAAGATTTTATTGGGGAATTGGGGGAGGAAACAGCGTTTGGGAATCAAGGAAGGGGAACAGACAAGTTGCTGTTCTTTTGTTCTTCAGTCTAGTTGTGGAGGAAGTCGCTTCACTGGCCCATGTTAGTATTATCATTGCGTTCTTCCGGGTGAGGCAGATAGTTCGCCAGCCACTGGACGGCCACTCATGGCGGCTCCTGGCAGCTCACACTGGCTGCCAGCCGCTCATTGTAGCTTTATGGCAGCCCACTGCAGTTCCACTGCAGCCTATGCTGTCGCCAGCAAATCACAGCAGTCCAGTTACAGGTCGAGCTGTTGTTCACCATATTAGCTGTAGAGGGCACAGTGTCACTGGCCCTCATGTGGGATCTGAACCGGGGCCCTGCTGCTCAGAGCTGGCATCCCAAGCCCACTCTTAACCAACGTGCCCCTCAGCTGGCCCAAGATTCTGTTTTTTAAAAAACCTATTCTAGGGCAGGCTGAGTGGAGCGGTGGTTAAGAGCTGGCGTGGGACGCCAGAGGGCCCCGGTTCAGATCCCACATATGAGGGCCAGTGACACTGCCCTCTACAGCTAAGATGCTGAACAACANCCATTGCTTGTCTTATTTTTAGGTTATCTAATTTAGTTGCCTGAGCTCAAGTTTGATAGGAATAGATGCATAATTATTTCCTTTATCATACACTCTTTAGAGATGGAGGAGGTGGCTGTAAAAATGAAATTTAGGAGGCTTTATACTTCCAGGAAGATGAAGTGGACATACTTTACCCCATTTCTCCCACTAAGTATAATCAGAACCTCTGGGCATTATATATAAAGCAAACATAAGAAGGCTTTGAAAGGTAGAGAGAAGAAAATAGATTGTGTAGGGAACTTTAGGACATTAGGAATGACATGGGAGTGGGTTCCTTGATTTTTTTGGTTGCTTCATTTATCTAAAACTGGGTACTAAATAAGCCAGTAGACTGCAGATGTCTATAGGTCCACACACCCAGAGTACCAACAGGGACCTCCTCTGTAGCTAAAGGACCAGGAATAGAACAGCCTAACAGGATGGAAAACTTTAGACAGTATTTGCTGTATTTACACCAAATACCACAGAAAAACTGTGGCTCTGTCCTACCCAGGCCAGAAAAGTTTAAATGGGGAACTCAACCCCTATGAGGTTGTAACAAAATATCCCAACATTGTCATCAGAATGGTATCAGAGAAGGCCAAGCAGAGAGCTGGGACTTCTTCCCTTCCCGTTGGTTGTGAGACTTCTCTCCCACCTACCCACACTGTCAATGGGTGTGTGTGTGTGTGGGGGGGTTTGACTTCCATCTCCAGCCAGCAGCAATGAGGTCCCACTTCCCTGCCATACTGAGGTTGCATCAAAAGAGGCCTACTGAAGAATTAGATCTTTCATCATCACCTAGCGGTAACAAAGCTACCTCCAGTGCATTGTCAATGGAGACCACGCAGAAAGCTTGGACTCCAACCTCTGCCCAGTAATAATGAGAACTTCCCCCTCAAGTGCCATTGGAGGAAACTTGGACTTTTCTTTCTCTGCTAGACTGGAACAAGATGGTAGTCCCCACCTTCCACCTTCACCTGACAGAGCAGTGTCGTAGCCAGCCAATTAAAACAGAAGGCTTAAAGAAGATCCAGAATCTCATAACATAATATGAACATATCCAGGTTTAATTCAAAGAACACTTGTCATACCAAGAACCAGTAAGATCTCAAATTGCATGACAAAAGAAATTCAACAAATGTTAACACTGAGATGACAGAGATGTTAGAATTACAGACAAAAATCATAAATCAGTCATGGTAAAAATGCTTCAGTGAGCAATTAAAAACATGATTGAAACAAATGAAAAGGTAGAAAACCTCAGCAAAGAAATATAATATATAAAGAAGAACTAAATGGAAATTTTGATACTGAAAAATACAAAACCAAAATAAAAGGCTCAGTGGATGGGATCAACAGGGAAACAGAGGCAAGAGAAGAAAGAATCTGTGAACTGAAAAACAGAAAAGTAGAAATTTCCCAATCTAGGTAAAAGACTAAAAATAATCTACATTTAGAAAATAGACTAAAAAATAAAAAATATCAGNTAAATGAGTACAAATAAAATATATTACCTTGTTTTCAGGGCAGAGATAGTAAATGTGATTTAAACATTAAGAATTGGTGTTCTTAATATTTGCCATGAAAAACATTCTGTCTGATTTACATTTCAATGCTGAGAAATTTTCATTTTTATTGTCATTGTATTGTAGTAAGAGCATTATGTTCTAATATGGGCTACAACTAAGGTACCAAATTATTTTTTTGGATATGTGTTTCCAAATTTAATATTTGTTTAAGATGTTACAAATGGAGGCTGGAGGATAGAGAATGAATGGTAGAGACACAAATGTAGCCAATAGCACAACTGTACATAACTCCTTCCTTACATTTTCATACATTACTGTGTTTGTTTAGTTTTTGTTTGGTTTCATAAAGGGTCTAAGTATTTGGAAAGGTGTATGACCATGTCCTACTGGAGATTTCAGTGTTTTCTTATGAGAAGGAAGTACCATTTGTTGTGAGTGTGACTTCAGAAATTTGGCTTTGCAGTTTTCCTGTATAATTATATGAGGAATTTCCAAACAACATAGTAAGAATTTATAGTACTTTTCCAGATGGTTATTGTTAAGCAATAATTGGAAACTGCTGTAGGAAATAAAACAGATTTTACATCGAGTAGGCATTTCGTCAACATTGGTTAAACTGAATAACATTTACCAAATATCTAAGTTCTAGTCTCATAATTCATACAAATTTTAACTCTTCTTAGGCCAAAAAAAAAAAAGAGAGAGAGAGAACTCAAATTCAAAGTGAATTTGTTTATAACTATTTAGAAAAGTTAACAGTAAAAAAGTGTATTTATTTTTAAAGTTAAACTTTTTGAGCCAGTAGTTCAATAAGGAACTTTCCTAACCAAATTTATAAATTCTGAGGTGCAAATCTAGCAAATCCAGTCAAGCTTTTCTCATTTTGCATTCTGTTACCAATTTATTATATCTGAGAAAGAATGATGGAGGTGGAAGTAAATGGAACAATTGCTTCTCACTTATTTCAGTGACTTCCATACATCCTAGTCTCTCCAGTAGAATAGGCTTCAAGGAACCAGCTTGACTGATGTGCTGAGTATAACTCATATTCATCTTAATTGAGTTTAGTGTTTACTGTGTCAAAATTATGTGTAGCCATCTTATTTGGGGTATTCAGTTTGCAATTATAAAGTTGATGGCAGGTTTCTTAAATCTCTGTGTGTTGTTGTTGTTTATTTTTTTTTTAAAGAGATTTCCCAAAGTTGCAGATGGCTGGCTCATCTCCAAATACCTCTTCAAGGTACTCTATGCTGGTGATGTCTCCCGCCACTGAGCTGCACGGGAGCATGGAATTGACTTACTGGGGAGGGCTATATCAGTTAAGTGATCTTTTTTAGTACATTGCATGGGTTTTGCAAAGCTTTCTGTTTTTGTTTTTGTTAATTCAGAGGGCACAAGTATGCTTATGCTAATTTTTAAATTAAAATATTTTTGAAAACCCACACAATATAATAATCCATTTACTCTCCTTCCTCCCATGCCACCCCCTCCATATTTCTATTAAGTTCAATGGTTTTAAGCACTATTAATCAAGTATATCTTGATTAGAACTCTTAATGATATAAGACTTTTTGTCTATTTCCTAAATTTTATAACTGCAGTTTAATATTTGTATTACATGCAAACCAGGGACTTGTGCAAGCTGTGTGAATTTTCTAAAACCACTCGGTCGGTAAAACATACAATGAGCACTATCAGTGGTAACTGATGCCAGTTACCATTAGTGGGAATATATTCCTAAATTTCCTTTCTCCCAGAGGAGTGCATTTCTTTATTCACTTATCCAGAACGTTTTCATTGAGTTCCTGCTGTATGTAAAACACTGCTAGACCTCTGTACTTATTACCTAAACTTTTATTATATTTTTTAATTAAAAAAGAAATGCTCAATATTTTTAAAGATTACAGTAAGACTTATTCACTACTGAAACAAATCACACTTGATTCCTTCAGGTCTACACATTGATATGNTGATTGATCGGTCCTGCTTTGAGACAATTGATGATTCTTCTCCCGAATTTAACAATTTTGCAGCTATTTTGGAACAGATTCTAACTCACCGGCTAAAAGGTAACTGTTCCAATGTATTATTTATTATCCCAACAACTCTTTTTTTAATAAACTTTAAATTTTAGAAACCATACAGTCTGGTGTCATTTAGATAGCAACTATGCCATATTTGAGAAACACGAAACTGACTTTGTGAATGCCTAATCTTTTGGCCTACATCCCTGCAAAAGTCTCTCTATTTTCAGGTTTATACCATTTCTAGAATGGATTAAAAACATTGAGTGCATTAATTGCCACATACAAGGAGCAGAGTCACTTTCTATAAGTAATTAAAAGCTTTAATTAAAAGGTAGGCCATGGGGTCAAATACATCCCTAATTGTGGCCCCCTGGACAAATGGTGGGCCCTACACTCATGAGTCTTGGCACTGCCTCCTCTTTACACCCACCAATAAAAACTATACTTCCTGTCCCCCCACAAAAAAAATGATAGCCCATCTTCAAAGGTTACTAGATGGTATTTTAATCTATAAAGAAGCATCTAGGCATTAAATTTGTTTGCTTAATCTCTATGTCGTTAAACTTTAGAATCTTTGAGAAATTTTTACCAGTAAGTAAGTAAAGGGATGCTGACTTTGGCTTTTTTAAATCAGTAAATATATATATACATCAGAAACATAAATCTCAAAATGTAAAAGGGAAGATGGGAGCTATATTCTTTCAGAATTATAAAATATTTTTAATTAANACTCTTCATTTCATTTTTCTTATCTCTGCCAAATTTCCTAAAACTTATTTTTCTTTTATCCTTTTTCAGACAGCATGGGTTTTATTTATCTTGTCTTTTAGTATGCTGTTCACTTTACCACCTTATAGTCTTCAGAAGTTACAATGGAAAAAGCTGACCCAACTTATGGAGTACACCACTACTATCCTGACTGTTTTAGTCTGCTTGACTGCTCTAACAAAATTCCACAGACCAGGTGGCTTAAACAACAAAAATTTATTTCTCACAGTTCTGGAGGCTAGGAACTCCAAGACTAGTTTAGATTCTGGTGAGAATTATTTTCCTGGCTTGTAGATAGTTGCCTTCTTGTTGTGTCCTCACATGACAAAGAAAAAAAGTGCTCTCTTTGGCCCTTCTTATAAGGACACTAATCATAACAGATCAGAATCCTTCCCTTATGACCTCATTTAACCTTAATTACCTCATTATAAGACTTATCTCCAAATACAGTCACATTGGTGTTAGGACTTCAATATATGACTTTGGGTAGACACAATTCAGTCCATAGCACTCGCCTCCTGATTGCAGCTAAAAACTCTGGACAGAATACAAAAAGCAACTACTTGTATACTTTGAAAAGTAAACAGTAACAGCCATTTTGGGGGGACACATCAAAATTTGAAAAAGAACCTTTATAAAAGTGAGTTTCCTGTGTATTATTTTCCCTCTTGTATTCTCCGCTTTAATCTGAGGGGGCTTTGGTCCTTAATTGTACTGTGGATACAGACAGCAAAAACTCCCAACACTGACCTTCCCTTTCTGGCCAGAGGATCAGGAAGAGCCTCTGTGAGCCATAGAGTGTTGGGGGCTTCCGTTTTTTGTCTTTTTCCTTGCTGCTTCCTCCCAAGAATGGTTGGAATTACCCAGAACTGTGCAACACTGTTAAAAGTCTGAGGAAACCTTTTATCAGGTTAGAGGAACTAGGAAAAGAAGGGATCTGGGAGCTGGAGAGTGTATCAAGGAAGGGAGAGCTGGAAAAGGGAATAATGCCCTAATTCTCTATGCTAATGACCATCATAGGTCCTGGACTCACATCCAAGATTTTGAGAACTATATTAGGATACAAACCACTGCCAAGTCCCAGAGTGGCATGTATATGGGTAAGTCCCAAAGAAGCATAGAAACAGCTATACTGAATTTATATTGGAACCTTTGCCCACATAAGGCAAGAAAGAACTTGGGCTATCTGAATCTAACTGGATTAATTGCCTACCAAAACAAAAATCAGCATACTCCAGAGGATTTTAACAGAATTTAGACTCTAAAGACCATATTAAATTAATCTAGTATAAAACCCAAAATTAATTCATCTATGAAGAACCAGGAAAATATGACCAATTCTCAAGGGAAAAGATAATCATAGATGGCAATCCTGAGATTAATTACCAAGCAAAGACGTTAAAGCAGCCATATTATAACCATGCCTGTTGATGTAAGGTAAACATTTTTGAAATGAATAGAAAAATAGAAGTTCTGAATTGGGAAATAAAAACCTAAGAAAGGACCAAATGGAAATTTTACAACATAAAAGTACAATATCTGAAATAAAACTTTCACTAGATTGGGCTCTATAGAAGAATGGAGATAACAGAGGTGTGTCAGATCAATAGAAATTATTCAAACTGAAGAACAGAAATTGACCTTTTGGACAATAGCAAAAGATATAAAATTAGTGTCATTGGAATCTCAGAGGAGAAGGGGAAGAGATTTGTACAGAAAATACATTTGAATAAATAATAGCAATAAGTTCCTGGATTTGAGAACTATGTATACTTATAGATTCAAGAAGATCAGAAAACCTCTAAAAAGATACATTCATAGTTAACTACTCCCAGATACATCATAATCAGCTTCTGAAGATAAAAAATAAAGAAAAAATCTTGAAAGCAGCCAGAAAAATAGAATACATTACATATAGGAACAACAATTCAGACGACTCAGATTTTTCATCAGGAACCATGGAAGATGGAAGACAGAGGAACAATATCTTTCAAGTTCTGAAGGAAAAGAATTGCTAGTAATTCAGAGTTCTATATCCTATGAAAATATACCCCAGGAATTAAGGCAAAATAAGGAAATACTCAGATGTAGGAAAACTAAAAATTATTAGTAGACCTATTCTAAAAAAAAAATGATAATGAAAGGTCTTCAAACTATAGAGAGATGATACCAGAGGGAAAACTGGAGCTTCATGAATGAAAAAAGAATAACAGAAATGGTAAATATCTGAGTAAATATACCAGATGTTTTTTTCTTAGGTCTTTAAAATATGACTGTTGAAAGCAAAAATTACAACATTGCTTGGGAGGTTTTAGTGTTTGCATTTATAATATAAATGACATTTAAAACAAAGAGGGTAAAGTAAAGGGACCTATCTGGTGATATATTTTACTTGAAATGGTAAAATAATTAACTGTAAGTAGACTGTTGAAAGTTAGGTTTTATATTATAACCCCTAAAGCATTGACTGTAAAAACACTAAGAGATTTAGCAAAAAANAGTTCTTAACCATTGTGCCACTCGGCCGGCCCAGTACTCTTAATTACTATATTTGCTGTAGGCATTTCTGGGTGAAAAGCAAGACAAGTATCTCAAGTATTTAGACGTTAGAGATGTACACCAAATGGTCTTTATATTTTATAACCAAAACAGAATTTTCAAGGAGACATTTTAACCTTAAATTGAAATATTTACAGAATAAGAGATTTATTAATAGTTTGAAACTTTGTTACATCTGGAGAATTTTTCAAGTTTATTTTACATGAACTTCACTTTTAAATGGATCAAAGACCTAAACATAAGACATGAAACAATAAACTTCATAGAAGAAAGCATACATACTAAACTTATGGACCTTGGGTTCAAAGAGGATTTTATGAATTTGACCTCTAAGTCAAGGGAAGTAAAAGCTAAAATAAATGAATGGGACTATATCAAACTAAAAAGCTTCTGCACAGCAAAAGAAACTATCAACAAAAGAAAGAGGCAACCAACTGAATGGGAGAAGATATTTGCAAACAGTACCTCTAATAAGGGGCTAATATCCAAAATATATATAAGGAACTCATACAAATCAACAACAAAAAGACAGACAATCCAATTAAACAATTAAACAATGGGTAGAGGATATGAACAGAAACTTCTCCTAAGAAGACATATAAATGGCCAGCAGATACATGAAAACAATGTTCAACTTCACTAGCTATTAGGGAAATGCAAGTCAAAACCACAATGAGATATCACCTCACACTGGTTAAAATGGCTATCATCCACAAGACAAATAATAACAAGTGTTAGAGAGGCTGTGGAGATAAAGGAACCCTCATAAACTGTTGGTGGGAATACAGATTGGTGCAACCACTATGGAAGGCAGTTCCTCAAAAAATTAGGAATAGAATTACCATGTGACCCAGCAATTCTTGTCCTGGGTATCTACCAAAAAAATATCTGAAAACATTTATCCATAAAGGTACATGTACTCCAATGTTCATTGCATCATTATTCATGGTGGCCAAGACATGGAAACAACCAAAGTGTCCTTCCATAGATGATTGGATAAAGAAGATGTGGTACATATACACAATGGAATACTATTCTGCTATAAGAAAAGATGAAATAGTGCCATTTGCGACAACATGGGTAGATCTTGAGATTATTCTGCTAAGCAAATAAATCAGAAAAAGTCGAGAGCCATATGACTTCACTGATTTGTGGGATCTAAAACTGAAAACAACAAAGGAATAAAACAGCAAATAGACAAAAACTCATAGACACAGACAATAGTTTAGTGGTTACCAGAGGGTAAGCGGGGGGGTGGTAGAAGAGAGTAAAGGGAGTCAAATATATATGGCGATGGAAGGAGAACTGACTGAGTGACAAGCACACTATAGATGTATTATAGAAATGTACACTTGGAGCCTAACCATTGTCACTTCAATAAATTAAAAGAAATAAAATCTCTTAAAATCACTGTTTTAAATGCTCTAATATTGCTAATTTAAAGGAATTAAATATCTTCCATTTTATAGAACAGGGAAAAGATTTCACAATTTAATGGACTTCATTTTTGGAGAGCATCATAATTTCAGTTCCTAAATCTTTCTGGTTTTCTAATTTTAAAGAGGTGCTTGTTTATATAATCTAATATTCTAATTTTTATTTCAGAGACTGTTAAAAAATAGAAAATGGCCACATAGAAAGGAAAATAATATTGTTNAAATTTCTAGAGCAATACCTGGGATATGGTGGGCACTCAGTGAATGTTTATTGGAAAA